TGAAAAAATTTTGGCCAAAATTTCGACTTTTCATTAAGAGAATATGATATGCAAGGAGGTGGCACAATAAATACATGGCAGAAATAATTCTCAGAAAATTTTTGGCCAATATTTCGACTTTTCATTAGTAAAATATGATATGCAAGGAGGTGGCATAATAAATTCTGCGAGAAATGTGGCAGAAATAATTCTCAGAAAAATTTTGGCCAAAATTGCGACTTTTCATTAGGAGAATAAGATATGCAAGGAGGTGGCACAATAAATACATGGCAGAAATAATTCTCAGAAAAATTTTGGCCAAAATTGCGACTTTTCATTAGGAGAATAAGATATGCAAGGAGGTGGCACAATAAATACATGGCAGAAATAATTCTCAGAAAAATTTTGGCCAAAATTGCGACTTTTCATTAGGAGAATAAGATATGCAAGGAGGTGGCACAATAAATACATGGCAGAAATAATTCTCAGAAAAATTTTGGCCAAAATTGCGACTTTTCATTAGGAGAATAAGATATGCAAGGAGGTGGCACAATAAATACATGGCAGAAATAATTCTCAGAAAAATTTTGGCCAAAATTGCGACTTTTCATTAGGAGAATAAGATATGCAAGGAGGTGGCACAATAAATACATGGCAGAAATAATTCTCAGAAAAATTTTGGCCAAAATTGCGACTTTTCATTAGGAGAATAAGATATGCAAGGAGGTGGCACAATAAATACATGGCAGAAATAATTCTCAGAAAAATTTTGGCCAAAATTGCGACTTTTCATTAGGAGAATAAGATATGCAAGGAGGTGGCACAATAAATACATGGCAGAAATAATTCTCAGAAAAATTTTGGCCAAAATTGCGACTTTTCATTAGGAGAATAAGATATGCAAGGAGGTGGCACAATAAATACATGGCAGAAATAATTCTCAGAAAAATTTTGGCCAAAATTGCGACTTTTCATTAGGAGAATAAGATATGCAAGGAGGTGGCACAATAAATACATGGCAGAAATAATTCTCAGAAAAATTTTGGCCAAAATTGCGACTTTTCATTAGGAGAATAAGATATGCAAGGAGGTGGCACAATAAATACATGGCAGAAATAATTCTCAGAAAAATTTTGGCCAAAATTGCGACTTTTCATTAGGAGAATAAGATATGCAAGGAGGTGGCACAATAAATACATGGCAGAAATAATTCTCAGAAAAATTTTGGCCAAAATTGCGACTTTTCATTAGGAGAATAAGATATGCAAGGAGGTGGCACAATAAATACATGGCAGAAATAATTCTCAGAAAAATTTTGGCCAAAATTGCGACTTTTCATTAGGAGAATAAGATATGCAAGGAGGTGGCACAATAAATACATGGCAGAAATAATTCTCAGAAAAATTTTGGCCAAAATTGCGACTTTTCATTAGGAGAATAAGATATGCAAGGAGGTGGCACAATAAATACATGGCAGAAATAATTCTCAGAAAAATTTTGGCCAAAATTGCGACTTTTCATTAGGAGAATAAGATATGCAAGGAGGTGGCACAATAAATACATGGCAGAAATAATTCTCAGAAAAATTTTGGCCAAAATTGCGACTTTTCATTAGGAGAATAAGATATGCAAGGAGGTGGCACAATAAATACATGGCAGAAATAATTCTCAGAAAAATTTTGGCCAAAATTGCGACTTTTCATTAGGAGAATAAGATATGCAAGGAGGTGGCACAATAAATACATGGCAGAAATAATTCTCAGAAAAATTTTGGCCAAAATTGCGACTTTTCATTAGGAGAATAAGATATGCAAGGAGGTGGCACAATAAATACATGGCAGAAATAATTCTCAGAAAAATTTTGGCCAAAATTGCGACTTTTCATTAGGAGAATAAGATATGCAAGGAGGTGGCACAATAAATACATGGCAGAAATAATTCTCAGAAAAATTTTGGCCAAAATTGCGACTTTTCATTAGGAGAATAAGATATGCAAGGAGGTGGCACAATAAATACATGGCAGAAATAATTCTCAGAAAAATTTTGGCCAAAATTGCGACTTTTCATTAGGAGAATAAGATATGCAAGGAGGTGGCACAATAAATACATGGCAGAAATAATTCTCAGAAAAATTTTGGCCAAAATTGCGACTTTTCATTAGGAGAATAAGATATGCAAGGAGGTGGCACAATAAATACATGGCAGAAATAATTCTCAGAAAAATTTTGGCCAAAATTGCGACTTTTCATTAGGAGAATAAGATATGCAAGGAGGTGGCACAATAAATACATGGCAGAAATAATTCTCAGAAAAATTTTGGCCAAAATTGCGACTTTTCATTAGGAGAATAAGATATGCAAGGAGGTGGCACAATAAATACATGGCAGAAATAATTCTCAGAAAAATTTTGGCCAAAATTGCGACTTTTCATTAGGAGAATAAGATATGCAAGGAGGTGGCACAATAAATACATGGCAGAAATAATTCTCAGAAAAATTTTGGCCAAAATTGCGACTTTTCATTAGGAGAATAAGATATGCAAGGAGGTGGCACAATAAATACATGGCAGAAATAATTCTCA